GCAGGAAGCTAGCCAGCCAGAAGGCTGGCGCTCCCCTCCTAACTTTAATAAATGTGACTTTGCCACTGTTAAAAAATATATATATGCTTTTTGCCAGGCATGGCAGCACACAGCTGTAATCCCAGCTACTTGGGAGGCTGAGGTAGGCAAATCTTGAGTCCAAGGTCAGCCTGAACAACTTAGCCAGACCCTATCTCAAAACAAAACAGAAAGGGCTGGGGATGTATCTGTGAGCCCTGGGTTCAATCCCCAGTACTGTCCCCCCAAGTATACACGTTTCCCAGCAAAAACAGACTCAGACTAGTTGTAAAAGCCTGCGGCAAGGGAAGAAGCTACCTATGAATACCAGGAACTCTAGGGACACTTCTGACGAGGTATGACGGGTAAGTCCTTGTATCATGACTGTGACTGCAATAGGAAGACTGCACATTTACCAAAAAGCATCAGCTAGCTGGGCATGGTGGTACATGACTGGTACATAACCCCAGCACTTCAGTTCATGACCACCCTGAGACCATGTCTCAAAAAACCAAAAAGGAAGAAAAAAGCATCAGATGCTACATAAGTGTAAAATGTACCTTAATAAGCCTACCTTTAGCTGGGCATGGTGGCACAAGACCAACAGTAATCCTAACATTCTGGGAGCCTAAGGCAGGAGGACCCCAAATTCAAGCCCAGCTTGGGCAGGTAGGGGAATAGGAAAAAAAAGCAGCAGCAAGATGTATCATGTACAGGTACAAATTCCCTATGATGAATGTTATCACTACGTATATCTAAAATGTACCAATAAAAAGGTTTCTCAGAAACAGAACCATGAAAAAATAAAGTGGAAGTTAAAAGAAAAAAAAGCTTGGAATATAGCTCAGTGCAAAGGTTCTAGGTTCAGTCTCCAGTGCTGAGGGGGAAAAAAAGCAAAACTCAAAAAAGCCTACCTACCTTTAAAACACGTATCAAAGTTTAAGGTCTCAAAGTCCCGAGGCAAAATATCTTTACAAAATATTTAACCTAGCTGGGTGCACTGGCACACACCTGTAATCCCAGCACTCTGGTAAGGTGAGGCAGGGGGACTGCAAGCTTGAGTCCAGCCTGGCTAAACTGGTAATTTACAGAGCTGGCCTCAAAAAAACAGAGGGGGGGTGGCCGCCCTGGGGGTTACAGCTCAGTGAGAGGCCTACATTCAATCTCCAGTATCACAAAACAAAATGACACAAAATATTTACCTTGACATACAATACTAAACCGCATGGTGGCACGTACCTACAATCACAGCACCCATAAGGCTGAGGCAGGGGGATCTCCATGAGTTTCAGACCAGCTTGGGCTACATAGTGAATTCAAGACCAGCCTGAACTACATAGTGAAACCCTGTCTGAAAAGAATGAAACAAAATAAGTCAGTCCAGCACAGTACTATTCCTCAGTCACCCTGGAAATCAGCTCTGCTCATTCAACAGAAAGGGCATGGAGTAGCCAAGAGAAGTGTGGAACCCACTCCTACCCCACCCCTGCCACGCCAGGGACCCAGTCAGGAAATAAGACAAGGCAGGTGTAGTGTGAAAAATCTTTCTTTTATTACTGTCTCTTGTGGCAAAATAACATTTTATACAAATAAGTCACCCAGTTTACTTTGGACACAAAGACGGTACAAACCGGAATGAGGATCTCGGATAAAGGAGAAAGGACAGGTCAGGTCATTGATGTTTCTTATATTCTGTGAAAAATACATTTGCAATGAAAAAAATAGATTTTTGCAACTTCAATGACTTCACATGGTCCTTTGTAAAGCAAGAGGTAAGTCCACCTCCACCAGACCCATCTTGTGGGTAAGATGTTCTGTAACATGGAATGTGAGCAACACGAAGGTCCCACGATTAGACTTCTCCACCAAGTACATACCAAGGAGACTGGGCTGTGATCTTCAGGACAGATTTTCCCCATTCCCAAACCTCACTGATGGCATGGGGGCACTGGCTACCAGAAGCAAATGACTTTATGGAGAGAAAAAAAAAAAAACTTGGGACCCCAAGAGAAGCAGGATCAACTAAGGCAGGACTCACCCAGTTTGTACGTTAGACACAGCCTATTAAACTCAGTCCAGAAATGGGTTCCACTCCAGTTGAAAAAATATGTTAGTCTGTCCAGTTAACGCCGTGCCAAGAACCACCAGTCTATGGTCAGCCCCAGGAGTCTCCAAATCACTGTTCCTAGGTGTTATAAATCAGATGCCCAAAGCCAAGACATGCTCAGGAAGTCCATGGCCCTGAACAATGCTTTCTCTCTAACAGCTCTGAGCTAACAGAGTGAGATGATGGCCTGTTTTAGCCCCAGTGACATCTAGTCACTACTTCCTGTGTTCATGCTTTGGAACATAAAATGAAAGAAGCCGGGATCATCTTTGGAGAAGCTGGAAGGACGGTTTAGCCCAAAGGCTGTAAAGAAAAGCAGAGGCCCTCTGGTGAATTTGAAGACAGAGGATCCAGGAAAAAGGAGGCAGAGGCCTCCCAAGTGGGCCTGCCTGTCTGCTACAGTGAGCGCCCTCCAGAAGCTGCCTGTTGGATACCTGCTCTTGGCAAAGGGAACAGTCTCCCCATGCAGGGAGCTGGTTGATAGCAGGTAACTGCTATCTTTATCTCTTTTCTGAGACAGGATCTCACTATGCAGTTCAGTCTGGCCTTGAACTCACTTTGTAGCCCAGGCTGGCCTCGAAATTAGGACGATCTTCCTGCCTCAGCCTCCAGAGTGCTGCGATTAGAGGTATACACCACAGCACCCGGCTAGAAGCTTCAATTTTAAATTTATCCCAGCCAACACCCAGAATGGTAATGCTTCTCAAGATTTCCTGTGCAGCTAGACAAGATACTGGACCTTCAAAAGCAGGACAGCAAATCCCACCCTGCTGGGCACAACTGAACACCCGGCCTTAAAACAGTCTTCAGTGAGACTAAGGCAAGTTAACAGGGAAGGGGCTACCGCACTACTCGAGCCAAAGTGCCCCCAGCTCCTTCACCTCCTGGGGGCTTTGCCAGCAGAAGTTGACCCTGCAGGTAAGAGACGGCCCACTAGTGTCCATGCAACCGCCTCCCCAGGGGCCCATTTCTCACCACAGGCTCTATAAGCAGAGCTCTGGGCAGCTCCAAAATGCACACCCTAGGTAAGGTTTAAATTTCAGACAGCAGAAGCACTCCCAGCTGGGCTTCTGTCACACAGACGAAGGAGCGTTTGAAGTCTGAGAGGAAGAGGTAAATCCCACTAAAGGCCACAGTGAGAAAGAGAAGGCAGGGAGACAGTGGGTGCTGACGTCTGTCCACAGGTGAGGAGGAGGGAATGAAGGCGACAGCTTTCCCCAGCAGCATGTGGGACAGAGCCACACTAAGGCACCTGGATTTGGAGCTGACTCCAGTTCTGCGATTCGCCCATGCAGTGATGAGGCACCCCTGCGGCAGGTGCACAGCCCCGCCCTCCCCCGCAGGTAAACCCAGGGCCAGCACTCAGAGCACTCCAGAGTGTTCTGCGAGAGGAAGCTGCCAGCACACGGCATCACCAATTCTTTGGAAGGGGGTGCAGGCTGAGGGTCAGGACCACTCACGCTCCAGAAGCCCGACAGGAACGAACACTGGCTGACGAATGCACGCGTGCTTCCGGGGCACAGGGCTGGCCCTCCTTCCTGGGCCGCACATGGCCTCCCCCCGGGAACCCTGCGGCACAGCTCCTGCCACAGCACTGTGATGCCTCGCGCTGCCTTACTACACACCTGGTCCCCTCTCCATTCATGCTACGTGGACCCTGGCCACAGGAGAGGGCCCTGGAATCTGGGCTGAGCACCTAAAGCCATCCACAGAGACAACCATAGGCAGCTGAAGAGGGGGGAGTCCATCCCGTAAGGATCCAAGGACACAAGCAGCCCACAGGAAGCGCTAAGGAGCTGTGGCCACCTCAGCCTATCTCACCCTTTCCAATCACCCCAAATAATCCCAGCTAGCAGCTTGAAGAATATGAATTACTTAGCTCTGGCTTGCCAGATAGTTCCAGAAACTGCTTCATTAGAAAGAAAACAGGAAAACTCCTAAGTAAGAAATCCACAGAGTTTAGGAGGCAAATCCCCATTAGAAGCCAATCCTTCAGGCTATGCTGTGTAGAGAAAATCAAATTTCTCTAAAGTAGCTGCTGCTTTGTAACCATACCTCCCCTAACACAAGCTAGATTAGCTCCAGGAGGCTGATCCATACTATCAGAAATCGAAACACATACCACATGTGTTGGGAACACCACTGATATTTTGTAAAAACTCCTCTATAGGAGTCTGGGGGAAAAAAAAAAATCAAAATACTAGAGGCCTGCTCTGGCCTTGAAAGATAGTATGTTCCATGAGCAAAACTGACATATTCTACTCAGGAGATGCTCCAAAGTCAGGTAGACAAGCAGCAGAGGAAGCTTATCTGTCCTCCAGAATAAGAACAAGAAGGCACTGCCAGGCTAAAACCTTGGTCTACCCGAGGAGGACTGGTGGGGGATCCGGAAGTCAGACAGATAAACAGGCTCACCATGAAAGGGGTCCTTCAGTCTGGCAGGACCTCCCATTACTCGTGCCTCCACTCTCAGCACCAAGTTTTTTCCAGTTGGTTTAAGACTATGTGCAGGCTGGGGCAGACAGGGCTATGGGCAACACCAGAAGTGAGAAGGGGAGGTGCCCACGCGACGCCCACCTTTTTTGGTCAAGAAGGACCACTAATCTGCAGGTGGCAGCCACAGCCCTCACCTGGGCACTGCTGTGCTGGAGGGACTGAGGTTCATCAGCGTAACCTGCAGACAGCTAGAACTACATGAATATAAACTTTCTTTTTAATGTGGATTGCAGAAGCCTTATTCTAATCTTTTACGTTACTATAATACCTCTGTGAACTAAGGAACAGGGAAGAAAGGGAAAACGCAACACTGCTTGGCACCTCCCTGGAGCACAGGAAACTGCCACCCCACCCCAGCCTTAGCCTCCTGGACAGTTTCCAGACGTCTGCTGACAAACAGCAGCTTCAATGCCCTCCATGCGCCAGGACACTAGGCCCTAGCAAAGCATCTCCTCTGTCTAGCCCTGCAGCAGTTACTGGCCTCCATTATAGGCATAATCAGCCTTGTTGTGCATTATCAGCTTGTTGTCCACGAAGTAGAAGCTGTCAGAGCGGGTCTCATAAGGGTTTTCAATCATCAGACGAACTGCGAGGCAGGGGTAGGAAAAAAAAGTTGGAAAAAAAAGTTAAGAGTTATACATGAGTTTGTCCCACGGTTAGGTGGGAAAACACTTAGAACTCCCTCCAAAATTCCCAAGGCAGCACTTCTGCAAAATGTGAGTATGCTCTGCTAAGTACCGAGTCGAAACCCAGGGAGCCAGCTATGAGAGCTGGGGAGACCGCAGAGGCCTCAAGGTGAGCATGATTTCCACTCAACCTAAGGATGCAGTCAACTCCTTAGTCATCCCCAGCCTGGTCTTCCCATCGGTGCCCTGGGAAACGAATTTGGCCTCTTGGCAGCAGGGACCATAGCCGCTCTATTTACTCAGTGGTCTCAGCTGACCAAGCCAGCCTTGGCTTCTGGTCTGCTGCCCACTGCTAGCCACACTGGTACAAGTCCAGCAAGCTACAGCTCATTGTGCCTACTTCCTACAGGCATCCCTGACAGCCAGAGGGATCCCAGGGAATTAAAGGGCAAGGAGCTTCTCCAGAGATGGCTCAGGTATTAACCTGAAAGTGCTCTAGTCAGAAGTCTGCTTGCCTTGGGATCTAAATACGTTCAGTTGCCCAAATCTCTTTACCATACTGGGGAGTAAGGTAATTAACAGTCACTACCTCTGATCAGTTTTGTTAATGATTATATGCCCTCTTGAGTCACCTTGAGCACTACAATTTTCCTTTCTTTTTTCTTTTTTTGGTACCGGGAATCGAACTCAGGACCGCAGGCTTCCCAGACAAGCACTTATGCCACTGAGCTATATCCCCAGCCCTACAATTTTCAAAAGGTAACAAAGTTCTTTGAAGGCCAGGTGTAGTGGCATATGTAATCCCAGCACTTGGGAGGCTGAGGCAGGAGGATCTCCATGAGTTCAAAGCAAGCCTGGGCTACATAGTAAGTTCAAGGCCGACTTGGACTACATAGGTAGACCTTGTCTCAAAAAAACAAAAAAATAAAAATTCTCCTAACCCACTCAGGCCAAAGCAATTTAGTAGACGCTGTCAGAGCGGGCTCATAAAGGTTTTCAAACATCAGACGAACTGCAAGTCAGGGAAAGGAAAAAAAAAGTCAAGAGTTATGTAGTTTACATGTAGATGACTGATCCTCAAAATCTCTTAATTTATCTGGCCTTACAGGTGTAATTAGTAATGCTATCCACGCTCTTTTCTGGAAAGCATCTTCATATTTCTGCCCAACTTGACTTCAGCCAGAGGCGATGCTGTAATGAACACTGCCCCACACTGCAGCAATCCTTATTTTACCTGGGAACAGTACTGTCATAGGAGTGAAGAGTATCGGGGTCCTGGCCTAGCCCCAAGTTCCTAAGTGAATGGATCATGAACGGCTTAAATAAAAGACAAGTGGTATGATTTTAGGACTCCAGAAGGATCAAAATCCTCTAATGCAGTTCAAGATTCCCTGGAGGTTGAGATCAAGAATTTCTCTGGGCAGTCTGTATTTACTTGGTTTTCAAACAAAGGAAGGGGATACTGAGGCAAGTGCAGGAACTGAGCAGGATCTTGGGAGTCAGTTCAAAGATTTCTCCAAGTAGGAAGTTTTACCAATTAGGAGAACTGTCTTATCTCCAGGTTAACAGTTACAGCAGGAGTGAAACGGCTGCAGCCGCAGTCGCTAGCTAGTAAACTGGAGTCAGAGCCATACTGGTGTCCTCAGCCATAGCCTTGTCTTGCCCTTTAAGGTGTCACAGCATCACAGGTCACTACAGGGCTCTGCCAGGACCAGTGAGTCATACGGGTTCACTTACTATGAATTCACTGCCGCTCTCCCAGCAAGGGGTCTAGGCCTAGGACAGACTCACAAGTAAATACAGAAAGCCAACTGATTGATTTTTAAATCTTGCTCAGAGCCGTTTCGCAGGGGTCTCCATCAAAGAGTGCCTGATTTTCAGGGTATGCAATCTGTTAAGGTCTTGGGATTTTGAGAAAATTGTTCAAATGTATGCAGATCCTTCCACACAGTTTTTTTTTTTTTTGGTACCGGGAATCAAACTCAGGACCTTGCGCTTGCCAGGTAGGCACTTATGCCACTGAGATATATACCCGGCCCCTTCTACACAATTAAAGGTCACCAATATTCACAGGACTCCACTCTCATCCGCATAAATGTCCTGAACCTGTTTTTCCAAATTACAAGCAGAGGACGGTAACTGCAGCTAGCGAGATGAAAGTTCCAGAAACTGATAAAAGCCTGTTCCTTTTCCCTAGCTCAGTCCCTATTTCCCTTGCCTGGGTTACAGCCTTCTCCACTACAGTGCCTTCCCCAGTGAGGGCTCCTCAGCTGAAAACCATGCTTCCACTGTCTCCTTTCTACTGCCACAAAACCTTAAAACCTCTCTAGCTCCTAGGTTGATTCTTGGTTTTGACGTTTTGTTTTTTGAGACAGAGTCTTGCTACGTAGTTCCATCTGGCGTTGAACTCACAGTGATCCTCCTGCTTCTGCCTCCTTGAGTGCTGGGATTACAGGGGTGCGCCACCACACCAAACTGCTAGCTCAGTTTATAACAGTTTATAAACCCTCTAGCCTGCAGAGAAAGAGAAATAAAAGTCCTCAGGCTTTTGAATCTATTCAGCCTGCGATTTCACATCTGGCTCTGATTATGGAAAAAGTGCAGGGCCGATGACTAGGACACAGTGAAAGCCGCTACTAACACTCGAGACACTTTATCTAGTCAGAGTCTCAGGCAAGGTCCCAGGCCTCCTTCACCTCCCTCAGCCACTCGCTTTCCCACAACAGGTGTCTAAAAATGATGGCCTGTATTTTTACAACTTTCCCTGCTCCCATATAGGCAGAGTCAGAGTTTGAAACGAAGGCAGGAGCAGGAGGAAATAAGAAGCCTCAGGTCAGAGGACCAGAATATCATGTTACTGCTGCTCTCCTCTGCAGGACAAAGCTGTCAGACATTCAAGGTTCATTCCTTAGGGCTGGGGATGCAGCTCAGTACCTACCTGCCTAACACGTATAGAGGCCTGGGTTCCACGTCCAGCACAAAGAAAAGGGGAGGTAGGGAGAGGATTGATTCATTCCTTGCAACTCAGAAACTAAAATACAGTAAGAGCCAGGAAATACATACTGACATCCTCTGAAAGCTGGGGAAACTCATAGATATGTTCACAAGTGTTCCTACTGCTGGGGATGCAGAAGCCAAAATCAAAGTCGAAGTTTTTCAACAGGCGTTCCCGGAAATAGTGCCGTTCAATCATCCGGAAGTTTGAGACGGGTTTGTCTCCTACTGTGAACTCCACTCTGCAAAACAAACTTTTGTGAGCCCGAACTTTTGCCTCCTCCCTCCGCCAAAGCCAACCCCCAAACCAGCCTCTTCTATGAACAAGCAGAATGTTCTCCCCACGAGAAATAACGGTACTTACGTAGCACCAACTGTCCGGAGGCGAAGAAATGCTGGTGTGAACTGGTAACGGACAAAACGTCCTGCACTGATATCCACATCTCCACCCTCCTCCTCCTCCTCCTGGTGATCTAAAAGAACACGAAGAATATTGAGTGCGCCACCTGGAAAGCACCTGTCCACACAGCACAGTGACAACCAACTAACACACCAACACCAATAGTGAGCGTGGCCCCTCTTACCACATACAGGCTGTATGCCAGGCCCTGTGCCAACAATGAGGACTCCTCATAGCAGCCCTGGGAGGTATTATGGTCTCCATCTCACAGATGAGAGCGCTCAAGTTCAGAGGAGTGCATGTCCACAGTCCCGAAACAGTAAATCACATCAGCAGGGATGTTAATCCAAGTCCATCTGACTGACTCCAAGCCTGTTTTTATACACCATGTTATTTGCCTTGTATAATTTGGGGGCTCAGGCCATAGTCTAAGATGAAGTTTGAAACATAAACTGGATTATGAGGTCTCTGATATAGCTCTGTATAAATAGACTGGGCCTGCTGTTCACCAAGTTCAAGTGTTACCCATGCACCAAAAGAAAAAGACTACAAAAGGCAAAGCTAAAGTTCCTTCAATTAATACAAACATTTCTGACAAGCACCAAATGAAAGACACTGAGTTACTGTACTTCCTTGGAGCTGATGTCCATTCCAGGCCATTCTAGGCCCAACCCTCTGACTACCTGGAAAGGGTGAAGCATACAGGCAATGAACCATGTGAGTCCTTAGAAGGTTAATGCTGATCTCTGACCTGCTCCATTCCTGAACCCAGGAGATGAAAGATTTAAAAAAATTAATCCCAGAATTGTTCTGTGAACAAGAAGTCAGTACCTCCAATGTCCAGTACGGGAATTTTCTCCAGGACTAAGCCAAACATGGGTGCCTTCAAGATCAAACTTTTTTTTTTGGTACCAGGAATCAAACTCAGAACCTCGCACTTGCCAGCCAGTCACTGTGCCACTGAGCTATATCTCAGGCCCATAAGATCAAACATTTTGGCCTGTGATTCCCAAGACGGAGCAGGGGTTCATACCCAGGAACTAAGAGCCCTGGCTCCACCAGTGTGGTTCAAACAGCCAGGGAAAATTTTCTCAGAGATTCAAAGTCATCAGAGTACGTGCTATAGGAAGGCACTGATTTGGTGTGAAGCCTAAGTGAATTAAGATCCTTAAATGAGACTGGGGAGACTGAAAAATCCAAATACTTTTATAATTGAGTTTTATACTGAAATGACTACTCTGAGCCCAGTCTAATCCAAACCCACAAACCTGGGGCAATGCTGGGGTCCCTCAAATGTCCTAATTTACTGTGACATGTGCCTTAGGGATGAGAACACCACAGACTCAGAAAGCTGGCCCTGACCTGACCATCCCAATGTATAAGTAACAATAAACTGGAGCTTGTCAGTGTCTCGGTCAGTACTATGTAGATTATGATAGCATAATACAGGGTGCAGGGGATCCAGAGCTCTGGCCTGTGCTTTGTGATTCATCTGAGCTGCGACTTCTGAGAGTTTCTCAGTGAAGTCTTTTTTCTCTTTTCTTGTTCGCAGTGCTGGTGATGGAATTCAGGGCCTCAGACATGCTGGATCAGAGCTCTACCACTGAGCCACATGCCTAGCTCAGGATAGTATGTTGATCTCTTTCCAATAGTATACCTGTCTTACCAAATTTTTTAGGCTCCTTCTTAGTAGCAAATCAAATGAAAGAAAAAAAAAAAAATCTTGCAAAGTACGTTATTATAAGCCAGGCGTGGTGGCACACGCCTGTAATCCCAGCACTCGGGAGGCCGAGGCAGGAGGATCGTTGCGAGTTTGAGACCAGTCTGGGTTGTAAAGTGAGCTGAAGGCCAGCCTGAACTGCACAGTAAGACCCTGTCTCAAAAAACGACAAAAAAAAAAAAAAAAAGTTATTACAGACCAAAGTTGATACTAGGATACCTGTGGCAATGTTCTAATGAAAGACTAACTCCAGAGGGCGCTAAGTCTCCAGTAAAGTACTCCAAAGACTTTCACGGTCCTTTGGCCAGAAATTAATCACCTGGGACTGCATTGCAAGTACAGGAAGCTTTTAATAAAGACCGATCTAACAAATCCCAAACAGACTAGTTCATCCATCTGTACTAGAAAATGGAGATTAAACCAAACAGTTTTCTGGTGGCAGGGTCTGAGGAAGGGTAGCAGAAGGCGGCAAGAAGCAGACCTTCAAACAGAAAGAGAGAAGCAGAAGAAACTCAAAGAGCTAAAAGCAGAAGATGTAAGGAAGAAGAGCCCCTGGCCACAGGTGAAATTTAGCGAAAAGCAAGCTGTTCCTTGTGCCTAAGATGATGGCAATCCTTGATACCATTCCTAATTAAACATCGGAATTCCCTGCCAAAACATCTTTGCTACCAACAGCTTGGAGGAAGTGCTGTCTTACAACTTGCTATACATTTAAGAATAAACTTTCATTAAAAAAAAAATCAAAACCTGGGCTTACTGGGAAACCCAAGGCACTATTCAGAGACAATGAGAAGACACGTAAATTTACCTTACGCTGTAGAATGGAATCCTCAGTATCACCTTTCCAAAAGGACTCAAGGCTCAGTGAGTCTTCCTCATTATGGTTTAATTCCCTCTCCTAACTGGAGGCAACATGATATGATGAAAGAACAGGACTCAGCCAAGTGTCACCTAGAAATTCTGAGTCTCAGCTCAGCTCCTTCTCCTCACGGAAGTGTGGAGATTACATAAAGCAATGCACAGAAAGATGCAAACGGTGACCCAGTGCAGACACTCAATAAACACCAGCCTTCTAACACAACCCTGCACACACAGCAGGCCAGGCTACAGGAAGAGGGCATGGAGGCAGGGCACACTGTGGTCAAGAAGCAGGATGGAATGGCACACAAATATTCGACTTTGCAGAGATCTGCTCAAACTGTCAGGTGACCCTACAACACTGAGGCCTACCTGAAATGCAAGGTTTGGCAATCTCAAAAAGCACCGTCCCCGTCTCCAAATCTCGAATTTTGAAGCGAGTAAAATCAATACTGTAGATGTTGTCTTCCGGTTTACACAAATAATCTGAAAATGAGAGAGACCAACACTGTTACATAATCCTTCAAATCGTGATACAATCCTCAAGGTTTTTGTTTTGGTTTGGCTTGGGTTTTTGTTCGATTTGCAACACTGGGGATGGAACCCAGGACTCCACACCATTCACTCCCATCCCTGGCCCTAATTTTCAAATTCTAAAGAAAATTCAGTTTTGTTTTGTTTTCCTATGCTATTTACTTATACTACAGCTCCTCCAAAACATTCTCTGGTGTTAAAATGAGACAAAGTTGTACGGACAGAAGCAGGTCTAAGAAAGAAACCCAGAAGCTAGGTGGGGTGGTAACAACTGCAAATCCCAGAACTTGGGAGGCCAGGACAAGGGGATCATCAAAGTTCAGGCCATAATGGGCCACAGAGCAGGTTCACGGCCAGCCTAAACTACACACCAAGATCTTGTCTCAAAAAACAAACAAGTCAATAAATGAAACAGAGCAGGGACTTGGTATGGATCAAGAATATCAAAAAGCTTTTAGAAACAGGGATACAAAAAGGATTTCTTGGGGCCAGGGATGTAGCACAGTGGCACAATACCTGCCTGGCAAGCACGAGGCCCTGGGTTCAATTGCCAGTACCAAGAAAAAACAGAATTCTTTGGAAACACCTCTAACTCTGTCATTATCAACCTGGATATCAGAACAAGATGGAATTTTTTTAAAGTCCTTTTTAAAACATACTGGTAGCAGGTAATACAACATCTGTTTGCCAACAGTGAGTATGAGACAGCAAACATTTCTGCGAAGAACCGAATTTTAAGTAATTGCGGACTGGGGATATAGCTCAGTGGCACAGTGCCTGCCTGGCAAGTGCAAGGTCCTGAGTTTGATTCCTGGAACCAAAAATAATTAATTAATAATTTAGGGTTTGCGGCCACACGGTTTATGTTAAAACTACTCAACTCTCCTCACTGTAGCACAAAGGTACCTATGAATAATAAGTAAATGAAAGAATGTAACTGCATCCAATAAAATTGTATTTATGGACCCTGAAATATGACATTTTTAAAAATTTATTTATTTTGCAATACTGGGGATCAAAACCCAGTGCCTTTGCACCACTGAGCTACATCCTCAGTCTTTTTTTTTTTTTTTAATACTGAGACCTAGTTTCCTTGGGTTACTAAACTGGCCAGGCTTCGTTTGAACTTGTAATCCTCCTGCCTCGGTATCTCTAGAGTGCTGGAGTTATAGGCATATGCCACTATGCCTGGTTTTGAAATATGAGTTTTATATCATGCTACAAATTTTCAAATTTATTTTCAACCACTTTTTAAGGTAAAAAACATTCTTAACTGGTGGACTGCACAAAAATCACACAACATAGACAGGTGAAGTGGCATACGCCTGCAATCTTAGCACTCGGGAGGCTGAGGCAGGAGGATCATCAGTCTGAAGAATCAGGAGGTCTAAGAAAGAAACTACATAGTGAGACTACCCCAAACTTCATAGTGAGACTGTCTCAAAAAACAAAACAAAATCACATGGTGGGTCACATATACAAGGCAGCAAAAAGAATGCCTCAATGAGAATACACCTAAGTACAGCTTGTAACAACCTAAGGAGTTAATCAAACTAGGATCCAAAGAAAATTTCACTGACTTCTTTGTACTCCTGAGAGCATCTTCCCCTTGACACTTTATCTTAGATTGCCTGTTTGTGTTATTCTTTCACATTTTACAAGCTGTATCCTATAAGATGGCAAACTTGAGAACTACTGCTTATTCTGGAACTCCAAAACAGGCTGACATTGGTTCTGTGCTTTTAGAGGGTCCTCAATAAATAATTGAGAACAGAACTGGTGAAATTTTAATGAGTAATCCAATCCAAGCTCTGGACCTGTAGCTTTCTCTGAGGAGCTGCACAGTGGGTTCTGGGGCAACTCCACCACTTCCAAACCCCCAAATGGGATCTGAGTGCCCACTGAGAATGGGGCTTCTAGGACCAGGCATTACAATGACCAACTTACCCTTAACAACACGAGCAAGCATGAGTCTAGAGAGTTCAGACGCTGTGCATTTCTGTTCTTCCCATGCCCCGAATGAAAACTTAAAGAACAGAGGCACCTTTTTCAGTTTCAATAAAACTCAACAGCAGTATTGTCTAAAGATTCACTCAGGCATGCAAGCAACAGCCCCAAGCCAAGGGTCCACACCTTCCCCAAACTCCCAGTCCCAAAGCACTGGCGCTGTCACCGGCAGCCTGAGGTACCGTCCAGTACCCCTGGACCGAAGCAACTCCCAAACAACACCACGGCATCCTTCTTGGCAGCAGGGGTGGAAGTGCGCAGGTGAGCGGGGTGGGTAGGGGAAGCCAGACCTAACTAGGTGACTGCAAACTCCTAGGGGAAAATAGCAAGACAGTGTCAAAGGGCTGGCTTGGCAAAGGAAAAGAGGGAGGCCATCCAGCACAGGGAGTGGACAACATACTCCTTCGCACCTTCCTTCACGTCAGTGAAAAGACCTAGGAGGGTTGCGGTATGCAAAATTTGCATTTCTAAAACCCTGACACAACCCTTAATTCACTAGAAAAAAAAAAATGACAAGGGCAACATTCACATGTGGGAGTTTGTACACACAGTGAAACTTCATGAAGATTTTCTCTGCGGCAGTTTTTAAATTTGCGCGAAGTGCCACGGCCAGGTGTGCGGAAGAAGGAAGCGCCCACCTGCACACAAAGGGGAGACGCCTGGGACCAAAAGCGGGGAGGCCGAGCGCGGCCGGATGGGGGCGGGGCGGCCGGGGCCGGGGCCGCGGCGGCGG